AATAAGTTACAGGACAAGGTTGTTGCTTTCGGTGGGGCTCACATTCTGGCTTAAGAAACAGAATTCAAACCAATACTGGCAGCAGGTGGCAGGTGCCAGGGTAAATGAATGCAGTATGTAGACTGTCTCTCTCACCCTCCCACCCCTTTCTCAGGCTTCACTCAAGAGCTTATATTATCGCTGCATTTGGACTGCCCAATTTCTGCACTCAGCAAAGGAAAAGCCACATATTCTTGCAGGGAGATATAACAAAAATACAAAAGCCTAGGAGCTAAATATGATGTTTTTGTCTGAGAACTGGGGTTGGTCTTGAGTGATTGGAATCTAAAGGGAGCATGGTGATTAATACAACTGGAAAATTAGGTTCCAGCTGGACAGTGAGGAATCATACAGAGTCTAATTCTGTCCGTGGTCCCTGGCAAGAGGGTAAAGTCGTCAAGAGACATTGGCAAGTAGGGATTCTGAAAGCAAGAAAAATAGATTAGAAATCACTAGTTAATGGAGGAAAGGTGTCTCAAGTGTAAGTGAATGTCTTACAGACCAAAGAGGCAAAATTAGAAGAGGAAAATAGGTAAAGTGTAAACAACTTGTAGAATAGAAAGCATGAATAACACTAATACAAGTAAAGACGTCTGCCTCATATTAAACACAAAAATGAAACTTAAGATCACAATGTACTGTCATTCCACCACCATCAGATGAGAATAATTTTCAAACCTGATCAGATTACTCACATATTAGTGAAAGTATAATTCACTGCTTAGCGAACAAGTGGGTCCACATTGTATTGTTCATACTGCCTCCAGGGTTGTACTTCCTTGTACTAGTCCCAAGGACTCTTTCTTCCAGCTGTATGTTCAGAGAGACACCTAAAAAAATATTTATGCAGAGTGGCTTGCGTGTGTTTGTGAGTGCATGTGTGCACATTCATTCATGTATGCATGCAAGGCAGAAGAGGATAAGAAGTAAGAGAGCAAAGAGGGGAAGAGAAAGACAGGGAAAGGGAGAGAGGAAGGAAAAGAAAGAGAAATCTGTGACAGTGGGGGGAGAGATAATGGAGACATAGAGGAGGGGGAGAATGGAGAGACTGAGAGGTGGAGGAAGAGAGAGAGGAAGGGAGAGGAGAAGCAAGAGTGAAAATGAAAGGCTTGGGATGAGGTAGTAAGGGTTAAGTGGGAGAGGACAATGGAGGGGGGAAGGAAGGGTGAGAGATGGAAAAGAAGTGAGCAAAAAAGAGAAAGAGGGAAAAAACATTCACTAAAAGGATGGTTATTATGGGTTAAACTGTCTGTCCTAATCCCAACCCTCCAGGATGCCACTGTATTTGGAGACAGGGTCTTACAAAGGATGATTAAGTCACAATACGTCAGTTGACTGGGTCTTAAACGTTTCTATATGACCATGTTTTTAAAGGAAAGATGTGGCATATAATATGATTACACTTAGAGGAAATCACTTCTATAGCCAGAGAGACCTCTATGGGCCCAGTTGAGTTTTCCCAACATTCAGACCCTCCCACCTCTTGTCTCCCACTGAAAAAGAAAAGCTGTAGTTTCGGTCATTCAGAGTTGCTGCTCCCTAAGTCAGCCAGAAAGCAAATGCCACAGTCTTCTGTAAGGCAAGTTAATTTCATCAAAGCTAAAATTTGATTTAAATTAATTCAATGAGAACAACACACTAAAGCCACATGTGTCATTTATAACATAATGTTGTATTAAAAACAAGTTGCCTAAAGTGTATTGCATAGGAAATCAATAAGATACTGAGGCCAGGGATGACCTTGTGCAATTTCAGAATGGCAATCATTGTGGTATTTAGCCAACCCAGCACGGGAGATGGGAAGAGAGAGATGGATAGGACTCCAAGCACAACAGCATATATATAATATATGTGTATATATTATAATAGTATATTTATATGTGTATGTGTATATACATACATACAGATATGCATACATATATAATATGTATACATCTATGTACTTGTAACTAATGCATAATTAAATAAATGTATTTCTGTTCACCTTATGCAATGAAAGGTTGTAACAGTTGTAGGTATATGTGATAATTTCTTTTGTTTTACTGTCTTTATAAACGTTTTCACATTTTTTTAGTGCTGGGGCTTTGGGCCACACAGGGCTTACTCCTGACTCTGAGTCACTACTGAGAGTGCTTGGGGACCATATGTGGTGCTGAAGGGTCAAAATTGGATCAGTTGTGTGAAAGTTTTAACCCTATGATATCTCTCTATAGTTCCATTTTTTTAATTTTTTCAAATCGTGTTAAGTGGGTGATTTAGAGAGTCAGGGGGAGAAGTGAAAAGGACCAGACCTCTGGCAGTTCTTTTCAAGAGAAACTCCACAGCATCACGCTGACAGACGATCTTTTCTCTCCTCCTGTTAGACATCCTTTTCCTTCAGGCTCCCTATAGCTCTTCTGTTCCAAAATGGCTAAACTATCATCTTTCTTCCTGCTACAGATCCCCAAAGGACCAGAGTCCAGAGACTTGGCTCATGTTCTCCTTTCACATTCTTCCCATTTCAAGGAACGGAAATCCCTTTTGGGTGTACTTCTAGCAAATGCCTTTGCCCTGGTCGTTCATCTGTCATTATAACAGATCATGTCCATACCTGCCCTCAGAATGAATTTTTTAGAATCAAAACTCACCACATCTACTTTCACCAACATGGCCCAGGCACGTGCCTCCAAGGGCATGGGGGTATTTATGGTTCCACCATGGCTTCTAACCAAGTCACTTCTCCCTGCACTTAGTTTTTTCTTCAGTGAATCCAGGTTTGGACACTAACTCATCCAGCTCTGTGGTAGGGACATGGCATTGTCCCAGCACAGCTCATAATAGTGGCATCCTGCCTCAGCAAGACCCTTTACCTGGAGTTGCCTGCAATTCTCGCATCCTGAGGAGGAAGGTATAAATGGTCACTTGAACTTTAGGATGTAAGCCAAAATCTCTAAGCAATGTATTGTGAGCTTCCAATCCAAGGTTATCAGAGAATAGACCCACCTTGACTTGGCTTAGTCTTTTTACAGCTCCCTGGGCTGTGTGATTTACCTGTATGCAGAGAGCTCGAGCTTAATGTGGGTATATATTTGGTTCCAACTTGAAAATTACAATGGCCAAAATCCCAAATCAAGAAGATGGTTGACACTTTGGACCTTGTTTCTGGGGTTTAAGTGGGATATGTCAGAGGTACTTAATCAACAAATCAATATATGTTGACCTGTTGTCTCATGCCATAAGCTAGATTGTGAATCAAACAGTTTGTGTTCGGTGCTCCCTTTTCTCCCATTGAGAAAGCCTTTGTACTGTCCAGGATCCCTGACCTGGCTGGATCCAGGACATGGTATCATCATTGCCTTTTATAAACTCTAATCCAAGGACTAGAAAATATTCTGTGGCTATGGCACCTGACCTACAAGCTCAAGACTGAGAGTCCAACCCCCAGTGTTGCCTGCATGTGCTGAGTACAATCTTAGCAGCAACAATGTTGGATTCCCAACTAGCAGCACAGCCAGGAATGTGTGAGCACCATTAAACTCTACAACTACATAGATGTCTGAGCACGACAGCAAAGAGTGCAAGTCCAGCAGTCACATGTGAAAACTTTGCAACTAAAGAAGTGCAACCTCCCACCCAGCCCTAACATCAAGTGTGTGAATACCACAACCAAGACTACACTGACAGCAGGAATGAAAGAGGAAGTAAAGAATCTATCTTGAGGTTCAGTGGTAAAGGACCTGCCTTGCATGTGAAAGCTCTGGGTTTGATCCCTGACACTGAGAAAAATCAATCAATCAATAAATAAATAAAAGAGTCTATCTTGGTTTCTGCTCAATGGGTTCCTGGACAGCTTTCATCTCTTCCTGAGGTTTCTAGGTTGAGGAATAACAAGTGCTGAAAGCAAGTTATCACAACTGATACCCAAAACTCATTACTAGTGATCAGTTCACGAGGCAGTTTTCTCAACTCTCCAAGATTTTGAACATCTGTAAAATGGGCGAGTAGGGAATCCCTTCAAGGGCTGATAATAGTCACTTTTCCTTTGCGGACACAGACAGGGCTTAAAAACAGTGGGAGTCGTTTTAGGCACTGGGAGATTCACAAAGGGTCATAGGAAAGTTGGTGTCATGATCTTGAGAGTTTTGGCACTACAGTAAAAAACTAAGGTCACCTTATCTGAAGCACAGACAAGGAGCAGCACCCAGTGGCCCTGGAAGATGCTTGCTCCTAAGTCATAAATTACAACTTCAAGTAAGGGTTGGTTCCCTTAAGAAGGAACCAACATCCAATCCCAACTCTTCATCTGGTTAACAGGGAGCAGAGCCTGGGGGCACCCATACCCTCATCTAAAACTTGGAAAAGTTGGGTTAGACCGGTCTCCAAAGATCATTTCTTCTACTATTTTTCCTTCCATGAACATTATCGAATGTAATACATAGCACAAAGTTTCCTGCATGCCCAGAGAGGATGGTCCAAGGTTGTAGGCAGACAATAAAGAAAAGCACAATGAATCAGGTTAGACAAACTGAGAATTGAAGGGCAGAGGCTGGGGGATGTGGTGTAAGAGGGCATGCAATTCTAACTGGGGAAGGCTTTCCCCAGAGACAGGTAAGGATCAAAGACAAAGAAGCAGAGGGGTAGGGACTAGAGGCCAGGGTGCCTGCTAAGAGGTAGGCTTTGAAATTGTCACAATTCACCTACTGCAGTGGGCCCTGCTGATGCCTAATGTAGCGCCTGGGGGTGGGATATTTTTTCTGACACTGCAGGTTCCCTGAGCACCACCAGGAGAGATCCCCAAGCAGAGTGGGAAGTTGCTTCCAAGTACCACCATGTGTGGCCCCAAGCCTCCCTTCAACTGAGGGTGGGAATGGGGACAAAGATGCTAGCAGTTGGAGATGGGAGAAGCTATGAAAATTTGCCACCAATTTCTCTGTGCACTCCCTGTCCCCGGCCCCATTCCACCATCTTTCCATGCCCCCGCCATGGTGCACATGAACATCCTGGTCCATGTCCTTAAGAGCATCAACAATGCCAAGAGGCAGGGCAAGCGCCAGGTGCTCATCCAGCCGTGTTGCTCCAAGATCATAGTGAGGTTCCTCACCGTCATGATGAAGCATGGTTACAGCTGGGAATTTGGAATCACTGATGATGACAGAGCCGGGAAATTTGCCGTGAAAATTGCCGTGAACCTTACAAGCAGATTGAACAAGTGCAGCATGATCAGCTCCAGATTTGGTATGCAGCTCAAAGACCTAGAAAAATGGCAGAACAACCTGCTTCCGTCCCTTCAGTTTGGTTTCATGGTACTGAGAACCTCAGCGGGCATCATGGACCATGAAGATGCAAGATGAAAACACACAGGTGGGAAAATCCTGAGATTCTTTCTCTACGGATGTAATAAGTATGAACAAATAAAAAGCCTCACTGGAAAAAACAAAAAAGTTTGTCTAGGAGAGATTAGGGAAGAGGAAATGATTCTCTTCTGTGCCCTGTGACACTGGGTCACAGATCTTCATGGGGCCTAATGAGGCATTTAAATAGATCCAGAAACACACTGCTGATCAGAATAAGAGTGTCTTGTCATAGAGGTGCAAAGGCAGTGGCTTACCCAGCAGTTCTTTAGCAGGACTACTATGGCCTATTGACCCAGGATTCTCCCTGAGACAAAGATTCAAATTCAAGTACAGTTAATCTTGAACAATGTGTATTTGAACTGCACAGGTTCACTTACATGTGGATTTTTAAAAATAAATATTATCAATATTAAGACCATTATACCTTTAAGTAAATATGAATTTAGGGGATGTAGGAATGTCATATCAGTTAGGAATAAACCAGAGCTAATTCATGAGCATACTCCCACTGTATGTTAATCCCATTGGGATTGTCTGTGGGGGCAGTGTTGAACAGTGGTTTTCAGCTCTCAGAAGAGGACAGATAAATAATCAATATTCTTATTATAAATAATATTTTTATCTCTACTTTAGTGATCTGTAAAATATTTCTCTTACTTTCACCAGTATATCAATATGAAAAAGTTAAACATTGGGTCAGAGAGATAGCACCGCAGATAAGTCACTTGCCTTTACACATAACTGACCCTTGTTTGATCTCTGGCACCCCATATGGTCCCCCACGCCATGCCAGGAGTGATGCCTGAGACAAAGACAGGAGTAAACCCTGAGTACTGCTGGGTTTGGCCCCAAAACAAAACCAAAGCAAACAAGTTGAACGCCCTGGTGTGAAACATGCCCCATCAAAGGAGCCAGCTCTAGCTTGGGATTGGTTGCTGTCCCTCTTTACTGAGCTAACTCTGGACTTCCCAGTCACAACTGTGAGCAAAGAAATAATGTAGGCTGGCAGCAGGAAATGTATGGGTGTAGGAGAAAAGTGTAAGGAAAATAGATGCCGTTAGTGTGGTATCTGTACTCCTCATGGCACTGTCCTGGTAACCCTCATCAAGGCACAGTACTTCCTTTCAAAGAATAGGCTCAACCCTCAAGCAAAACACTGGATATCATAATCAAAGAAGAGGCATTAGTAAAGTGCCAAGTGAGATTGGACTTGAAGTGATCTGAAGAGAAGATCTTCTGGACTGGGCTGGAAGTTTTCAGACTGGATGGCAGTTAGTGAGCTGGAAAGCAACTATGAGCATGGGTGGGATATGCTTTACTGGAATTCTTTTTTTTCCCCAGACTTATAAACTTCCTGTGGTTGTGTTTCAGTCCTATAATGTTCAAGAACTCATCCCTCCACCAGTGCCCATTCTCCACCACCAATATTCCCAGTATCCCCCCCACACACACACACACACACCTACCCCTTCCCATTCCCTGCCTCTGTGGCAGGCACTTTCCCTCTTACTCTCTCTGCCCTTTTGGGTGTCCTTATGGCTTGCAACACAGTTATAAAGCAGCCATCATGTTTGGTCCAGAGCCTACCTTTAGCATGCATCTATTATTCCGAGCGATCCCTCCAACCATCGTTTACTTAGTGCTCCTCTCTCCATTCCAGCTCTCTTTTCTCCCAGTGCATGAGATCAGCTTCCATGCTGTGCGGAAGTCCTCCTGACCCTTTTTTCAACTGTCTTTAAGTGTTAGTCTCCTATTGTGTTACTTTATATTCCACAAATGAGTGCAGTCCTTCTATGTCTGTCCCTCTCTTCCTGACTCATTTCACTTAGCATGATACTCTCCATATTGATCCACTTATCTGCAAATATTATGATTTCATTTTTTTCTAACAGCTGCATAGTATTCCATTTACTGGAATTCTTGTATCTCGTCTCTATGACCAAAATTGACATACAAACAGGTGGCTGGTGCAGACATGATTACACAAAAGTGTGGCTGAGAAAGACAGATGTTTGTCCAGCTCCACCTCTGCTTGCTCACACTCAGCAGGAGCAACACTGTCTTGATTTGCAGCCAGGGAAAGTCGTCACTCATAGATCCTGCTTCAGGGAAGCACAAAACAAAGAATATCCTTTCAGGTGGTTATAAAGCAGTCTCAGAATTAAATCTCTGATTTCTAACCTGCCTGCTTGGGACCACTGCCGGAGTCTGATTCAGCACAACTAGTGACACCACATCTTCCTATTTGCAGCACTGCCAATATTTAGAAAGTCAGCCCTGTAACTCTTCCACCTCAGGCCCCCCAACTCTAGAAGAGGGTGGTTAAGCAATTGGATTGCTCCCTCTGGAGCTTTTTTAGCAGGTCTAAGTGTTGGGGGAAAATCCCAAATAATAGTGGTGGGTCTGGTGTCAAAATATTGAATGTAATCAAAGTAGAGAGAGAGTAATGTGGAAACCATCTGCCACACATTAGGCAGGGGGAGGGTTGGGATGGGGTTGTACTAGGGTTTTTGGTGGTGGAAAATGTGCACTGGTGAAGAGACGGGTGTTTCATCGTTGTATGACCGAGACTTAAACCCGAAAGCATTGTAACTGTTCTCACGGTGATTCAATAAATCCATGGTCACGGTCCTCTCGTTGTTCATCGATTTGCTCGAGCGGGCCCAGTAATGTCTCCATCGTGAGACTTGTTGTTACTGTGTTTGGCATATCGAGTACATCACGGGTAGCTTGCCAGGCTCTGTCGTGTGGGCGAGATAAAATACATTTTTTTAACAACAACAAAAAAAAGAACACCCATTGAAAGAGCTAATACTTCTAAGTATAGCTATCATATACCAGTTATTTAAGGAAGAAGATACCATTCTTTCCCTACATCCCTAAGCTCCCCTGATACTTCTAAGGATGTGAGTAGATGATAGACTGCTATGAGTCCTCCTGGGGTAGGGAGGTGGGGGTCTCATCAGCAGCCTCCACACAGCCCCTGCATCCTGCTCTAGACACTGAATCAGCGATGAACCCAAAGATAGGAGTCAGTGATCAATCGTTTGAACACAAAGGCACTTACACTGTAGCCTTACTAGGTGCTGACTACCGAGCTTCAAGCATAGGTCCCTGTGTGTGAAAATTCTGCTGAACAGCTCTGCTCTGAACAACAACAACAAATGACCTGTAGTTCAAATCTCCTTGTGTAAAATGCTTACAAGGAAGGTCTGCAAGTTGCTGTATCAAGTTTATCTATCCCAGAGCTCTGTCTAGCAAAGCATTCCATATGTAAAACTTACCCTGTGGTTTCCAATCCCACCCACCAGACGGGGAAATGTTTTAGTGGATTTGTCTGACCTAGCCCCTTTATACATCTGGGACAACCCTCAGAGGACCTGAGACTCAGGCCCATGGACTCACTCTGACACTCACACAGGAGGGAGATGTGGGTTTAAATGTTTGCAGGTGAGCGAGAATCCCTGGACAGAGCCTGCCTGGTACTGAGGGGAAAGTAGACCTCGACTCTCCACTGGTGTCATACCCAAGAAATTACTGGTCAGAGTCTATACTTGAGATTTGTCTCATGGTCTGTGCCTCGGAGAATAATTTATGGCATTGTTATGGAACTTTGAAAAGGAAGAGCAGTGATAATGAATAAAGGTGGTTTCCTGAAGCTTCACTAACCTGAGCTCACCTTCAAATCTATTTTCCTTGTGATGAGAAACCCTGAGATATGTCTCTCCACTGGAGTACTCTGCCTCTGTCTACAGAAGAACTTGGCTCTCCAGGGCACCTCAACCAAGTCAAATAATACTTGTAAATTTTATAGCACCTATGATCATGTTGAGTTCGAGTCCTCCACCCCTCTTGGAGAGCCTGGCAAGCTACTGAGAGTATCTTGCCCGCACGGCAAATCCTGGCAAGCTACCCGTGATGTATTCGATATGCCAAACACAGTAACAAGTCTCATGATGTAGATGTTACTGGGCCCGCTTGAGCAAATCAGTGAACAATGGGAGGACAGTGCTACAGTGCTACTGCATGATCATGTAAGGACTTCACAAGGGCCCCTGTCATAATTGAACAAGCACCACCAAAGCACAAATTTTTTGCTAGTGAATTCATCTCCACCAGCACCTCAGGAAGACCAAATGAGAGAACACAGAAGCAAAATGTTACAAGTATGTATGAGTTTGCTAGGGACACCATATACCACAGATACAACACATACTACAGAGTCCACAGTTACCACAGGCAGAGTGGCTTAAACATCAGGCACACATCTCATGTACTAGGTTGGGAGTACAAGTGGTGTGCCAACAGAGTCTATGTCTTATGCCATATCCTCCTTGAGCCTCTACATTACTTCCCCCTGTGGGATCCATCTATAGTGTCCACATCATATGACGACAACAATCACATTGGATGAGGGTCCATTAAAATCTCATTTAAATTTTATTATCTCTCTACAGACTCTATGTCCAAAAAAAATAAACAAAACAGTAAAGTGCTTATATTCCAAAGTACTAAGTGTTAGGGCTCCAATATAAGATCTTGGAGGGGACGCAATTTACCCCACAACAGGGATAAAGGTGCAAAAACCATGTGCATCTCTGAAAAATGTTGGAGGAGACATACCCAGAGGGACTAGCAGAGAGGGAGAGGTGCTATCTTGTTTACACTTTGCATTTAGAAAAATTACCTCATTAGTTGTCTGTCTGCGTCCATGCCCAGCTGCAACCACTGAATCAATCATTTGGGGATAAGTTTGGCTTTCTTGGACACCATAAACGGCACATTTTCTAACTATGTTTTGATTTCTGTGGTTGTCTCAAATGTCAAAAATGATGGAAGGGATAGAGAAGCTGAAGGAAGCCTGTGGACAGAGAGGAAAGGGAGCACTGCAGCAGGCTGGAGGATTAAGACTGAAAAAGATTAAAGGGCTTGGATGTTTGCCTAGTCTTGAAGAGACCCAAGTTGCTACCCACCTACATGGCATCTGAAAAAGACAG